TACAAGAGTTTCGTTCTACAACTTTGTCATTGGAAAATAGTTTACTGCTAATGCAACAAAACCAAACTTTCGAGTCATTTGTATATCTATACTTTAAAACAAGTACGGCCATAGGAATTTTCCGATTGATTTTATTTTACTATAGCCATCAAAATTTTGATACTCCAGGGATTATGTGCTTTATGTGCAAGTAATCTTACTCTTTTTGTCGTTTTTTGAAAAGAAATGCATATTCCTTAAATATTATCAAAACTTAAATATGCTTAAATATCTCGATATTAATTATTATCTACGCTTTAAAGAGAGTAGTAGTTTCTATTCAAAATAAGAAAATTGAGAAATCGAATGCACTTCAAAAAAATTTTGAAGTGCTTTTTTTGATTAATTTTGGTTATGTTTTAAGTAAAATTGCATTATTTGAATGAAAAAATTATATTAACAGCTTATAAACTAACTAGCATAATATGTTAATTTAGTCAAAACGCGTATGCATTCTTCCACCACCGCCACTACTGCCGCCACGGTTACCATAACCTTCGCCGCTGTTGCCATTGCTGTAGCCGTTGCTGCGGCCACCTCCATATCCACCGCCGCTGTTACCGCCATAACCTCCACCGTAGCCGCGACCACCATTGCCTCCGCCGCCAATCGCACCCTTTCTGAAGGTGCCATTGAAACGCGAGTTGCCGCCGCCGCCACCACCATACCTGGAACGACCGCCGTCGAATCCACGGTTGTTACGTGCCAAACCTTCTAGTGCAGGATTTATTTCCTATGAAAGAAAAAAAGAAAAGACACAAATACTTAGAGAAACAAAAATTTTTAACTTTGTAAAACACGTAGTAATTTATTAGTTTTTTTTTTTGTACAAAATAAAGTAAGGAGACTCGTTCTTTACCTGGTTAGCCTCTCGTAAAACATCCACCAGTGCTTTCGATTGTTTGGCATTGTTTTTGGTAAAGAATGCATAAGAAGTTCCCTTTGTGTTGGAACGTCCGGTACGTCCGATTCTGTGAATGTAATCCTCCGATGATTGTGGGTAATCGAAATTAATGACATATTTGATACCATCCACATCTGAAGCATTTATAAGTAAAATATTTAAGGGAAAGGGAAGATACAGAATACACAGGTTAATCAAGAGTTTATTCAGAGCAATTAAATGGGGCAAGAGGTAATAAGATACCGTTGCTAATATAATTAAATGGACTTTCGACATTTGCAAAGTAGAGCACTGTTTTGCATTCATTTTTTCACTTTTGTGTTTTAAAACTATCTTATATATTTGATCCAAAATTTTTCAATAATTATCGTCGTTAGAGTAAATTCAAATTAAAAGAGATAAAGTGGATTTAGTTAAAAATGTACTTTACCTTCAAATTGTCGATTTTTATCCACGCTCTTCCCTCGTACATCGAAACGAGGAAAGGAGCATGTTGAAAAACTTTTAATATAGATAAGGTATTTTCCTTCTAATCTGTCTCTTTTACTTTCAAGCAATCAGGCACAAGATGGACGAACGATGCAACTCGATTTCGCTCGGAGTTCAGCGCACATCCAACTATTTGGTGTAGTTTGTGCGCCGCCCGCCGACGTCGTGCATCCATCAGTCAATGTTCAGGTAAAACCACTACCGCAGGCATGTTGGCAAAGAGTGTCGTCTCTTCTTACGTTTCGACGGCCAGTAAAATGCCCGCCGATATTCTCCAAATAACTGTTTTTACTTTTAGATTACAATCATTTTAATATGCATATCCTCCAAAGTATCGATTTCTTATTTAATCCACGTTTCAAATGTGTCCTTTGTAGGCCGCTTTGTGATGCACTTGTGGCACTTTTCTAAAAGAGACGTTTTGCCTTCATGAACTTTCCGCATTTCATGGAATGTTAGAAGCGTTGTTCAAGCATCTGCAGACGACGACGACGCTTTTTTCTGGACGGGCAGCAAATGATGAACTGGTGTTCTGTGATGTCCACGGTAGAGTTAGAACAACAGCAACAGCTTCTCAACATTTGTTTATTGTCCAAAAGAAGGTCGCCACAAATATGTTTGATACATTCGTTTACGTTTACCGAATGAGTAAGGCAAAACATTTTTTACGCCATGCCACGTTACACCAACCAACCTCGTTACAAAACCGCGAATACGCGATGAACAGGATCACGGCGATTACAAACATTTAAAAAATCTTCACTTTAATTTAAACACGTAATTGTCAATTTCGCAATAAGATATCTTAGTGACCCTGTTCCTTGCAAATCAAACTTATTTTCACGATGACGTTACGATCCAGCCAAAGAACACATGCGATGTTGCGAATGTAGGACGGACATGCATTTAGTTGAAGAATGGAGGAGTTTGTATTAACTGCCTGCGTGTGATTTAAACCCCGTTTTCTTGTGGAGTACATGCCCGAGAGATACACATAAAAGAACTAACTAAACTTATTTAATTTATATAAAGCTCTCTTATGTGCTCGACAGTTTGCCATTTGTAATAAACGCTGATGCAAGGTTGGAAACCCTACTATTTATTACCTTTCTCTCTTTGGAACCGAAATTGTTACAGTTTTACAAATACTATCACTTAAATAAAAGAGTGCAGAGGCCACTTTTGCTGCATGATGATAGGGATATTGTATACCGCCGAACTCTATGTGCACATTGTAAATTTGGGAAGAAGCAGGATTTATGTACATATGTTTTTGAACAATAAATTTACACGACGACGCGACATATATTTCGCGTTTTGCAAATAAATGTTGTCACTTCTTGGATTCATGTTGTTTAACTTGTCTTGGGCATACAATGTGTGTGTACGCTAAGGTGCGCTGGAACGCTTTTCGCACAAGTAGCACGGATCAGGCAAGCGTATCCACCGGCTGTTGCGTATTGTATATGCCTTCTCCTCCAATGTGCAGTGACGATACTCGCAAACGTATGGCAGCAGATGGTTCCACGACATCCCCTTTACCTTGGAATGTTTAGACAAAGTACTGCCGCCACCGCAGCTTAATCGGCTTAATGAAAAAGTTTCTTTCAAAGAACTTTTCACCGGATTCTCTTTGTGCTTAAATTTCAGAGTTCACTTATAAACGCAATGCGTAGTGAATTGCGTCGTGTCAATAGTTGTTCATATTATCCCCACCATACTACAATAATCGGCCTCTGTAAACGAGAAGAATCAGGAGAGAATAGATTTGGGGAAAAGAAGGAAAATTCCAAGTTGATTAATATGTCTTTAACAGATATGATGACTTATTTGTCACTAAAGCTAAAGTGAATTTTGGGCAACTGGTTCGAGTTGTTTTTAAGATCTAACATACGAGCATTTTGTGATGTGCCTACGGGTTTTTAGAGATGTCATGGCGTTGCTGGTTACAATCGTCAAATGCTGGGAGTACGTGATTGCAAAATGAATCCAGACCAAGTGGACGCTATATAAATTTTCATCTTCCGAAGTCGACTATCACACTTTGCATTCACCATCCCTCAATTCATTTGAAAATATAATCACACCAGTAAAAAATATGAGAATGATAATGAAACAAGGCAAACGATGAGTGCAATTGGTAAAACTTACCCAAGCCACGTGCAGCGACATCAGTTGCTACCAAAATGTTTGACTTGCCCGAACGGAACTCGCGTAAAACGTAGTCACGTTCCGACTGTGACTTGTCGCCGTGGATAGCACCACAACGGACACCAAAACTGCGAATGAATCGCACCAGATGGTCAACACGACGTTTAGTCTCCACGAAGATTATGATCTTTCCTGGATTTTCGCTTGTGTCGTAGATTTCTGAAAGCAAAGCCTTAAGCCTGAGAAAAAAAAAAATGTATTAAACACAAATTATAAAACTATATATTGTATGTAACATTTATAACATATCGACACCTTTGCGCAAAGAGCCTTTTTTTGTACTTTTAAAAATTTGTTAAATATATTTTTTTTACTTGTTATTCAACTTACTTGTCTTCCTTGTCATGCTCTTCGCATACATCAACCACCTGACGAATGTTATGGTTCGCAGACAGTTCCAATGAGCCAATATTAATTTGTATGTAGTTACCCAGAAAATCTTCTGCTAATTGTTTAACCTCTTTTGGCCATGTGGCGGACCACATAAGCGTTTGGCGATCGGGGCGAATCTGCGACAATATCTTACGGATTTGTGGCTCGAAACCCATATCTAACATACGATCAGCCTCATCCAATACAAGATATGTACAACGCTTCAAATTGGTGGCCCCCGTCGAGAGAATATCAATTAGACGACCGGGAGTAGCAATTACAATTTCACAGCCACGCTGAAGGTCACGTATTTGACCTCCTTTTGGTGCGCCTCCAAATACGCAAGTGTTGCGAACATACGAGGATGATCCAAACTCTGTAGCAACCTGTTGAATCTGCTGTGCTAACTCGCGTGTGGGTGCCAAAACCAAAGCGATGGGTCCATCACCACGTTCCAAGGGTTTTTGGTTGTTAATATGCACGATTGCTGGCAAAATGTAGCCAAGGGTTTTGCCCGATCCTGTCTGAGCGATGCCAACAAAATTGGACCCACTCATGGCTATTGGCCAACCTTGTGCTTGGATTGCAGTTGGAGCTTTATAACCTTGTCGACGTATTTCCTTCGATACATAGTCTGGGAAATAAGCTTCGCTGAAGTCCTGAATGGGGTTCGGTGCATTTCCGCGAATAGTAATTTCATGTTCATCGCGGAATCGTTGGACTTCGAAAGGGGAACGATTTGCAACAATTGGATGTTCTTGATAAAAATTCTTCTTGAAGGGTTGCAAATTTGAAAAATCAACAGAGCTGAGTGTGATATCCTGGGTGCCACCACGACCGCCGCCGCCACCATATCCACCGTTTCCACCGCCGAAACCACTACCGCCGCCGAAACCACCGCCACGTCCACCACCACGGTTCTTGTCAATACGTCCATTACGTACACCGTGGAAATCCCCACCACCGCCACCATTACGCATGCCACCGGCATTGCCGCCTTGTCTGCCATTACGGTCATCACCGCCACGGCCTCCGCGACCTCCAAAGTTTCTATCGTGAGGTGCCCTACAAAATAGATACAGAAACACTTATTATAATTGCACGGTTGTGTTACAAGTCAGATACTGCTACACCTTTTATGAGAAGTTCTTATATTTTTGCGACTCATTTTCTTCCAATAATCTTGGTTATACATACACAAATTGTAAATATTACTTGAGCTTAACAAATAATTTCGAAAATTTCAAAATCTTAGAAAAAATAAAACACAGCGCTTGTTAAGCTATTAAGAAATAATCCGCATCAGAATAGAGAAATGTTTTAGTGGATTATGAAGCCATAAACTAACTCTAATAGCTAAAGCAGCTCAATTAAATCCAATAATCAAAATATTACTGAAACTATTGTCATAAAACCTTAAGTTTTTATAGGCAGGAGTTTGCTCCGCCCAATGCCGTGAATAACGATTTCGTGCTCAATATTACATTTCGTGTTGGATGGCTCTCTTTGGTAAATTGGTACTAAAAGAACAATCAAATTGCAATATTTTACAAGCACTCCCAATCAATACAAATGGTAATTTGATCGTATTACAAATTGAATGACAAAATGTGAACTGCGGTGCCTACCACCGAGTTATTAAAGTACAACATCTGTTCACAAAACAAATGTGACACGCGAAGTTCAAAGCAAACCAGCCAGAGACTTGTGTAATTGTTTAAGGCTTGTTCAATGGTATTTGTCGTCAAATAAATGAAAACATATTGTCAAATGGAATTAAAAAACGATATATCGATTGATTTTGGTCGGGATAGGTCTTCAGTTTTGTTTGCTAAATCGGCTATAAGTCCGTTTCTGGTCCTTAATATCATTAATAAAGATATGAAAAGATATGAAGTAAGATTTTTGGCGTCAAAATAAACATAGTGGCAATGCAAGTAAATTCAAGTCTTGCAAAGGGCCTGTTCGAGGCACGTAATAAAAGCGGCATTACTGCTGTACTGTAGAAAATCTGCAACATTGTTGCAATTGCCCAACTGAAATTCACACCAAACGTGATACTCTTAATAATTCGCGCAACACTGCGGTTGTGATTGCAACTCGAACAAGCCCACAGCTTAAACAGCTGACTATGAATGTATGAATTCAGATACAGCCGTCCACATAGCCAAAACTTTGCAGCGCTGACGCCAACACAATACAGAGGAATGACCAACTCTCAACTTTTCGCAGTCTTTTTCCACTTATATGCAGATATATTAGGAGTATTCTCGCAGTATTGAAAATCTCTTGCACGGTGCACAGTTTACAAAGCTGTCCCATATGAAAACCAGTTTTTATCGTGCAATCTGTGCACCGTGCAAGCGCTTTGCAAGACTCAGAGAATATACCTACATATTTTGTTTTTACATTTTTTTGGTCACAAATTAATTGCATAAATTGAGCAATTTTAATTTTTAATATCCTTCTGGAGACACTAATAGCCGGTTTCACCAGCAATCTAAATAAAAAATGATTTCATATTTTCTGTAAATTTCCATATAAAGAGCGTGTGTAAATCGGTAACAAAGTTTGCGGCGTGTAAATTTTTGACAAGTATGAGGTGAATAAAATTTCAGTAGCTGTTGTTGTTGTTCAGTAGCTCATGAGTGTGAATCGGTAACAAAGTTCTATGGGAAAAGCTGTTGAATAATATTTTTACTATGGTGAGACAGTTTTGCCAATCTGCTGTATGAAATGAAATATTTTTTGACAGCAGTAAGTTTTTGATAACCGCAGATTTATTTGGAATAAAATATTACAAATTGAAGTAAAATGAATATTTTAAGAAAGCATCTACCATCGTTAATTGCAATATTTAACGAAAAATTACACACATAAACAATCTTTGCGATTGTCAAAATTTTCTATGCATTTGTCAAAAATTTCACTAGCCTCATGAGCTACTGAAATTTAATTCACCTCATAGTTGTCAAAAATTTACTCGACGCGAACTTTGTTACCGATTCACACACGCTCAATGCATAGAAATTTTGACAATCGCAAATATTGTTGATGTTGTGTCATTTTTCGTTAAATAAAAACTTAAATTGATGATTTGAAATCAATGAGAGTAGACGTTTTCTTAAAATGTTAATTTCACTTCAATTTGTAATATTTAATTCCGCATTAATCTGCGGTTATCAAAAATTTACTGCTGTCAAAAAAAGACTTCATTTCACACAACAGATTGGGCAAAACTGGCTCAACATGGTAAAAATATTATTCACCAGCTTTCCCTATAGAAATTTGTCAACGATTAACACACGCCTAAAATTAAAAAATTAAAATCATTTTTCATTTAAATTGCTTTCGTGAAACTGGCTGCAATTTCATTAAAAAATTAAAGAGGTTCGGCAAAATTGCAGATAAGACTTATGATTTTATCAAAACCATGTCGCACCATAATAATTCGGCCCTATCGCGAATTTCACATGAACAAATATTCCCAAAAATTATAAAGCAAAACAAATACAATTTTTCCCAATTTTGCTATTAAGATGCTATATACTGCGTTTCTGCGTTCCAAATTGGAATACGCTGCCTTTATTTGGAGACCGAGTTATTCAGGCCATATCAATCGCTTGGAAAAGGTGCAGAGGGTATTTATACGCTTTCCTTACGTTCGTTAAAATTTACTGAACCATTACAATCTAATGTCTCCCGTTGTCGGCTAATTAGTTTACCTACTTTGCACAATCGGAGAACATCTCATGCTATCTTGTTTTATTGAGTATTGTTTCGGATAAAATTGATTGTCCGACCCTGCTATTTCTCAAACTTGTTATGCATAGATTTTACTAATTCTAGATGCAGTTATATATTTTGAAATAAGGTCTTTCGATTGGTGTTATCGGTTTTTAGATATTCACCCTCATTGCGAGAGTCGTGTCGAATGCAAGTCGTTTTTCGAGAGTCGAATCGTATCGAAAAGTTCATGTCATTGCCTAAAATTTCCACTCGACTAGTGTATTAAAACGGAAAAACTTGGCAGCACTGTAGTTTTCGACGATTTTGGTCGTTTACTTATTTCAGTACGACAATAGACAATGCTACTGTTGTCGAGTCGTACAATTTAGCCTAATTTACGACTTACGCAATGAGGCTGATTTCCTTTAGTTTCCGAGATATTGACTACAATTTTTTTGATAATTTAGTAAAAATTTAGTTGGTGATGCAGTATTAAACTAATCAATATCTGAAAAAATGGCGTTCTCCAATAAACAAACATTAAAAATTAAATAATTTAAGAATTTTGTTAACTAGTAACATTTTCAGAGACTTCGGAGAAAATCTATATTCGCGTTTTAGAGAAATTGTATGCCGAAAGTAGCTTACGACAATCTTTTACCCAGGCGACGATCTGTAAAAGAAACATACTGACTTTGAAGTGCTTTAAGCCTAATGCATTTTAAAGTATTTGAGATCAAATGCAGTCAGACATAATTAACATTAAATAAACAAGACAAATGCCAAAACCGGTCAAAATATCGCAATTCTTTTATTTTATGGACCACAATATGTACATATGTTCATATATACCTAGCAAATAAGTTCTTATACATTGTACAAAACGATATGAAATTATACGCTCATAAATATTTCTTGCTTAGCCCCATATAAAAAAGCGTTATATGTAATGTACATAAATTATAGTTGCGATCCCGTACGAGTCCGGACTAGTCAGAATCAGTCAGATTTTACTGGAAATCGATCCCGTACTCGGTTCTCCGACTACTGAGAGGACAAAAAAGAGAGTAAATACGGTTCTCTCTGTCAGAAGTTACCAGTTTTAGTCCGAGAATTTTTTGCTGGTAAATTCTGGTAAATACGTCAAACGATCAGCTGTAGTGTGTTTGGCAACCAAATTGTAAACAAAAGAAAGTGCACTCTGCTAATTCATGTTGAAAAGTATTTAATTACTTGGTTAAGTGGATTCTAATGAATTTGGAAGCGGATGTGTGAGCTGAGTGTGTTTACATACAAAATAAGCAAAAATTTACAACCAAAATTTGGAGGTTATGTTGAAGTTGACAGAAGTTACCATTTTTTACTAGAAAGCGATCCCGTACTTTTCGATGTTACTCTCTCGCTCTGAGTGAATTTTTAAATTTTGACAGTTTTACTAGTCCGAGTCCGAGGAATACGGGATTGCACCTATTTTTTACTAGAAAGCGATCCCGTACTTTTCAATGTTACTCTCTCGCTCTGAGCGAATTTTTATTTTTTGACAGTTTTACTAGTCCGAGTCCGAGGAATACGGGATTGCACCTTATATATACGTATATTTTTACACATGCATATGTACATATGTACATATATGTGTATGTAATGTTGCGTAACAAGCCGATTCAATTATTTGTTTTCTTTTGTTTTAACTCCGTTAAATTAACTGATTTTAAGAATTAATACATGTATCTGTAATTTTTTTATGGGATCGGCATAAACCGATTAATCGGCATCGTAACTAAAAAGAAATTGAAATCAGACTCTAGTTGAAAGGCCATGTGGACCAGGCAAATGTTGCATTCAGCTAAAAGTTGATTGTAAAATCGCCCCATGTAAATTCGCTTCAAGCAAACACTATGTCGTCACCCTATTTCCCAATATTGCCCTTTTACTAGTACACAAAAAACCGGTTTTATAATTTGAAGACGAAATAGGCAACAGGGTGAAATGAAAAATACGAAACCAAAAGGAGAGCAAATGAACAACACACACCCACAGTATACACACACCATCGTGAATCGAAACAAAGATTAGAAAATGAAATACGCAGTTTCAAATAAAAAAGTAATTACTACAGTTAGTCCCTAAAGAAACTTTAAATACTAACTCGAATATTCACTTCGCTAACGCGTCAGTCCTTACCTTCTTGACTCCATCTGATATTTTTCTCAAAATTCACGAACAAATCAAGATGAGACTTTCTCTAAACCTACTTCAACGTCTGATATGCTGCACTAAAAGTTAAAATAGACAATTTTCCAATGCAAACCAGTAAAATTACTCATACAACCTTATCTAAGTTTTCTCTATACCTACAAAAATATATGTACGTACTTATTCGTCTACATACAGTGGCGGAAGAATAAATGGGGACGAGACAAGCAGTTTTGACTACTTTTTCTCTCGTATATTTGTTTAATAATTTTATTTTTGAAAAGTATAGCTCACTAACTAAAGAAACCCATGTAAGATCAATTTTCAAACTTAAATAAAAATTAGTGAAATTCAACAAAATGCCGATTTTTTTTAAATACATACTTGGTAAGCAGTTTTATGGCTAATTTAATTTTAGTATAATGAAGAGCAAGAGAGAAGTGGCTAAAAATAAGTCGAAAAATAATCTCGGCTTTTTAGTAACTTCACACAATTGCACATCATTTTAGCAAGATTGTATGGGCAACCAATTTTTTCGGTTACGGTTCGGTTACGGAATAAAGAAATTTTAATATACGCGTGTAGCCCAAGGATTAAACTTTAAATTAGATAACGATTTCAAATTTCTGAGCATTTATTGATAAATTTGGTTTGAAATAGTTTTGTATTCGCAAAAATACCACAATTTGATTAGAAAATGATTAGAAAAACATTAGACATTAGAAAACAATTAGAATTCAACGTTGGACCGCGATATCGAGAACTAAGGCCCCTTTTTGTACAGAATGCTATATTTCGCGACAGTTTCTCTAATTGTCTTCTAACCTTCTACCTTAAAGAAACGCATTGGAATTTGAATCGTTATCTAATTGTTCTCTAATCTAAATATTTGTAGGAAAGTTTGAGATTTTAATAAAACTGCAAAATTTTCAGTCTGAAATTTAAAACACTTTGTTTTCTAGATGAGCTATACTTATAAAGCATAATCACATTATCGTAGTTTACGACTCATTCGTTTCATTAGCAAATCATATTGAAGTCAAGTAATTTCGTCTTGTAGAATGTGAATAAATTATAGATGAGATAAATTATAAATCAAGAACCAAATGAAGAAACCTCCTATTTATTTTAGCCCCCACTGTTGAGGAAACTAAAAAAAAAAATCCTAAAGTATGCAACCATTTTTTATTAAATAGCAATGACGCACTCGTACCTACACGTGCCATTTAAATATATTTGTACTTAGCATCTTCCGTCCCTATTACTTTACCCGCCACTGTATGTATATATGTATATATTGGCAATTCTAGATACAGAAACGAGTAGCTGGAAACCAAAATGGAGGTCAATCCAACACGAAATCCACACATGATTCATATTACTACATACATAATTTTTAAATGGTATTAAGATTTATTTATACATATGTACTTACATTTCGTCAGAATCAAAGTACAAAGATGAATTTGTAGAAGTTGTGTGATTGCTGGCTTTTTCCGTGGATTTTTGCTTTTCTGCAGGTGACGTCTCTGCTTCCACTAAATTCTTACTTGTGCTGTGAAAATGCCTGTGAAAGCTTCCGGAGCTGTTGAATATTCCACTAAAATTTTTTAAGAATGAATTCTTAAACTGCTTGAACTCCGATGTCACGTCTTTTCTTCTACCTGCTACCAGTTCGTGATGGGAAAAAGCAAAATTCACTGGCCTTCTGTTGGTTGAAGAGAAAAGAAAATGGCGTCGTAATATAGTACTCGTGGCCGAGTGGCTAATGGCGGCTGGCAAAATCAATGAATTTTTCACACACGCCACTGTGCCTAATTGTGACGGTGCTCGGCTTTGGCACGAGTGTTTTGCTAAACTTTGAACCAATATTTTGAACATTTTCACTGGTATTTAATTACAAATCACTTGAAAGTATTTTTTTCACAATCACATTTATTGGTTGCAAAGCAGCAAGACTCGTGCAGACAAACCGACTACAAAATGCGTTCTTACCTAACCTCGTCCAAAAGTGGAATGACGCATAGCAAAATTTCAGTGGAAAATTTTAGTTCAGTGCTCTGCAGAGTTGCACTTTCACTCGCACGCACAGTTGCTCGGAGAACAAACGTCGGATATTATTGTGAATGCCCATTATGACCAACATAGAAGAAGAGCCCAAATGAGTTCAAAACTAAATAAAATGGCTAAACACCAACACAATTTGTTAACTTTACAACTAGGCGTTTATTTTTAGTTGTTTGTTTAAGCTCATATATATAAATCTTTTAAATACTGTGTTTATTCTTCTAAAATTAAGTAGCAGTTTTCAAGTGAGAAAACGCGTTCGCAAACCGATGTAATACAAATATTTGTTCATTGCTTGATAGAGGTATTCACACTGAGCTTGTTGCATTTTCGCACTGCTTCCGTACAAAGTATTTATTTATGTGTCTGCTCTTCCAGTTTTTAAACCAAAATAATTTTAGTTACAAAATAGCTATTGAAAAACATCAAAAATTATAGTTCAGTCCTTTCCAACAGCAAAGGTATTGCGACAAGGTGGATCGGAAACTCCGCCTTTACGACCGCCCAGAAAGCATTAACACCTAGATGAGCCCTAAAATTTAAGCCTAATAGGAAGCTAGGGCGCATATTCATAGTCATATTTAGTACTCAACTAAGTCGAAACTATTCTAAGTCACAACTAAAGCTATTCATAGTCGCCTTAGTTTCGACGTTTCTGGCTAAGTACCAACTTAAAATTTAGTTTCGGCTGCAGCTGCAACTAAGTCGTAACTAGGAAGAAGTATTTTATCAAATTAAGGGAAAACAGACGAAATATGTAAAAATTAAGTTGGTAGAGGGTGATTTTGATAATATTGAATAATCTCCAATTAAAATTTACAAAGATCGATCCATTTTAATCGGAAGATGAAATTAAATGCGTATTACAATTCGAATGAAGCTACATCGCAATTTTATAATTGGAATAATTTATATAAATTCTCAAATAATAAGTCAGTTTCACGATAGTTCTTTTAAAGTAAATTTGTGCATAACATTTAGATATCTACTATTTGTTTCACAGCATGCTTTCGATAAACATCGACTTCACATCACTGCGGTTGTTCCGGCTATTTCACACGATTAACAAGAAAATGAAACCTTATTCTTTTGCATAATCATGCAATGAAAATAAAAATTACATAAACGGATGATCAAACTTGATATTATTTAATAAATAATAAAAATGTAATTTCTCCAAAATATCGTAAAGAAAAATCGATACATTTTCACACTCGTTTTGCTATATCGTAAGCTAAGTCGAAACTACTTAGTAGAAGTCTGAAATGCGACTATGAATAGAGGTAAATTTTAAGTTGGTACTTAAATTTAAGTTGCAACTTTGTTAATTTCGACTTAGTTGCTGAACTATGAATACGCGCCTAAGTCTTTCCAACCAAAGATACTGCATTGGCGAACTTGTTTCCTCAGTATGGCTGTAAACCAAGAATGATACGTGGCAAGTCGCCTTTCGATCGCGTCAAAACAGCTCCACCTAATATTAACGGCGTTAGTTTTTCTACGCACGCAAGCAAATTTTTCATATTTGATAAACCGAAATCAATTTGCAAGCGTGATTTCTCGGAGTTACATTTCTGTCAAATTTTCAGAAATTTGTTGAACAAAATTTTAATCCATAGTCGCGCCAAAATGTCAATTGAGCATAAAGCTGCCTTTACATGAGGCGATTTTTTGACAGGCAATAATCGCCTGCAAAAGTCGACTTGCGGTCTACTTTGATGCAAGCGATTTTTAATCACTATTTACACTAGCGATTTTTCTGAAGCAATGTTGAATCGCTTAGAAAATCGCCTCATGTAAATCCAGCTTAAAAGTGCAATCGAAATGTCACGCAAGACCGTTCTGTGAATTTGAGTTACCGCAGAACTCCACAGGCAAACACCGATGGCCTACCAACTGGCATTATGGCGAGCAATGTGATAGCAAGTTTTTGTGTGTGGGCACTTTGATGTCTTGAAATAAGCATTTGCCGCATGACGCCACCAGACAACATTCTCTCAATTTCGGTGTTTAAGAACTTTAAAAAACTTGCTGAATAATTTCCTAAAGCGTAGTCATTAACAATATTATTATTATTAGGGAACAGATTTTTATTTTGATTTAATATGAAAATTTCATCGATGTTTCCCACATCACGCTTTCTTTCAAATGAAATTATGGCTGTCAAACTATCGAATTGCCTGCAATAGATGTCTCCATTGGAACATGGTTATCACGACATCAGTGTGTTCCTGTGGAGACGGCCTTAAGGCCCCGCCAGATAGAAAATCTTTTCACGCTTTTGGCTGACAAAATGCACAGAACATGGCGAGACGGCACGATGACAACATTCGAACAAACGAACGCTGCGTAATCGCAACACAAAGAGGTGATTGACGTGTTTATTTGAACGTTTGCGGGCAAGACACGAGCCAACCTCACTCACACATGTGCGATGCTTCGCGTGTTTATTTGATTGTCTCCGTGGCGCTTGAGATTCTTTGTTTTCTGTTTTTGTTTACAAATGAAACCCTGTCGGTCGTTTGACATTTGTCATGAACTTGCAGGAAAGAAACTTCAGATTAAAACCTGCAACTTCCGGCTGAGAGGGAGTGAAAGTGGCTCTCCCCAAAGTTGTTTTGGCCCTGCAACGCTTCCCTGCAAAAAGCCTGCAAATCATGAATATCGTGAGCACCCAAGAATGATAGAATACAAGATTGCGCCTATCAGAGAGGATTTTTGATAACTTTTGTGTGACGTCACACTGGTGCAATTGCGAGAGAGAAATGCCAAAACGTGAGCAAGAATGGAAGAAGAAGAAAAAATGGTGCAAGGAAAACGTAAACAAGTTGCACATGTGTGCAAATTCACTGAGAGAGGAATAGCGGTACCGTGATTGGCACATCCTCTATTTCTCTCAATCGTGGTGAGCACCTAGAATTTTTAGAAAGAAATTAATACAACAAAAAGAGCAATCGCTTTATGGGCATATCGCCAATTGCGATAATATGACGGATTATAAATTAGATGCATTTGTTTGTAAATGAGCAAAAAAAGAACTCTGAACTCATAAAAAATGCCTTTTAGCTGCTTAAGCAACCCTGTTGGTATCTGGCAAGAAACATGTGATTAGTTTAACGCGACTTATATACAAAAAGCGTTGGAAATGAGTAATTATGTCATGAACGAAAGACACAATGTCACGCGCGAACGAAAGAAAAAAAAGTAATTTTCTAGCTGACGAAATCTCGACGCCATCATTGTTGTAAGAAGTAAACAACGAAATACAAATTCTTCTGTAACTCATGTCGTTGTGTAAAATTATTCTTATCTTCTTATCCTTATCCTCATGTACACACACGCTGTCACAAGCGAAAATAAAGGCTGCATTTCTTTATTCATTCTGAACGTTTGGAATAAACTTTTTTGTTTATTTATTCTTTAGAACGTTCCTGATGATATGTTGACGTATATTTCAAACGCATTCTGTTTATTCCGGCTGTGAAATGGGATTATCCGGAATGTATAAAGAAACGCAGCCAAAGAAAATTGCAGTAAAAGCCACCATCAAATTGTAAGCCACGAGCAAATGTAAACATCGGCTAATGTCAAAATTGCCCAACTTTTTTCCTAAATGCGATTATAACGGGCGACTGGCTTGCTGGCGTGATCTTGTATTTTTTGTCCATGTAATTATGTAAGCTATTTGCTTAATATACACATATAGGCTGCATTTCTTTATTCATTCTGAACGTTTGGAATAAACTTTTTTGTTTATTTATTCTTTAGAACGTTCCTGATTATATGTTGACGTATATTCCAAACGTATTCTGTTTATTCCGGCTGTGAAATGAGATTATCCGGAATGTATAAAGAAACGCAGCCATATACTTATTTAAAATATAAATCATTTATATAAGGAAACAAAAATTTCCCTTTCCACTTTCCCATTAACAATTCACAATCGACACTTAGGGCCAGTTTTTCAGTGCACGGCCGTGGTTTAAACTCAGTTTAAACGCCGGATCTGGCTGGTTTAAAATAAGATCAGCCAATCAAATGTCAGCAAGCTGTTCAATTTAAACTCAGTTTACTTAATCTAAGTTTAAACGGGCACTGAAAAACTGGCCCTTAACGGTACTACTCTTCAGGATACATAGCCGAGTTTGTGTTGTTGCTTTGCATGTATTTCCTCATTAAAGCGAGTGTTCTTCTGTAACTCCGAGGCAAAAGAATGCACCTTACTGCCCGTCTCCATAGGATACAGTTTATATCTTGATACATATATAAGAATATAAATAGCCAATGGAGACCGCTCATTGCTCTTCAAGAGTAATACATATCAGAGCTTATATTTTTCGGAAATTTGGTAGATTGACAGCTACATGTTCATTTGCATGAAAACTTCATGGCGGCAACATTATTGATATTTTAATATAAAAGGCAAAAATTGAGCTGTTTTCTGTTAAAGTATTTGTTATATTTGTTTTTAATTAAATCCAAAAATACGTTTTAGAAGCTATATTATATACTGATATAACTTATATCTAGCGACCAAAATGACAGATGGACAGCAATAAATTTTACTAGAGTGCCAGTTACTGTCGAAATTCGACAGTTTTTCTAGTTTTAGAAGCCTTGGAGAGGTTTTCTAACTTAACACGTAGCGATACTTAATTACAAATTAACTAGCCGGAAAATCTTCTGCTAAAACGTAACTATTTGTTTTTTTTATCTGAGAAGGTCCTTGGAAGACTTCGGCAGGACTTGGAATTGACCCGATACATTCAAGTTTATCGATAAATTTCGATGATTTGATACATATCAATAGTCGGATGAATTTCAAGAACACTAAAATTCGATAACTCAACAAAATTCGTTAACTCGACCAATTTCGATAACTGTGAAATTCGATGGTCCGATAAATTTCGATAACTCAAAA